CGTATGAGAGTCAAAAACACAATAAACAATGTACATCTAATTACAAGTAGATAAATGTCTGTATGGAATTCTATCCCTCTCTCTCTCTCTCTGTGATAAAACCACCCACTATTTCCATATAGCTAAACCATAATATTAGCTAATTCACCTGGAGTAATATCAAGCTAGCTTGGTTCAGTCAAGCAAACAACACATATACGGAGATTAAGAAAGTATAAGGAAGGGTTATTCTCAGTAAGGAGATGCCAATTTTTGCTGCTATCAAGGTATAACAATGTGATACCTGTCAAATATTTGTCCAGATGGAACCATGGCAACATAATTCGCCGCCACCTACACAAAAATTATACAAACTTTGTCACCGTATGAGAGTCAAAAACACAAAAAACAATGTACATCTAATTACAAGTAGATAAATGTCTGTATAGAATTCTATCCCTCCCTCTCTCTCTCTGTGATAGAACCACCCACTATTTCCATATAGCTAAACCATAATATTAGCTAATTCACCTGGAGTAATATCAAGCTAGCTTGGTTCAGTCAAGCAAACAACACATATACGGAGATTAAGAAAGTATAAGGAAGGGTTATTCTCAGTAAGGAGATGCCAAAAATTTGACGTAAAATATACATTGATACCATATCTAGGAAACCAGAAAGTAAAAGGAAGTAGAAAATTTATATTTGAACTTCTGGTACCCAAGACCTGTGGCTGCAGAGGCAATAAGTACTTATGAATTGTGATTATCTTAAGGACTGCTAAGAAGTGCATTTTACGGAGATTCACAAAGAAGCAGAGATGATGGTACAAGAGCCAATATCAAATATAGAAAATAACCTTTAAATTCTATTAACAATCAAGTGCTTGTTTGTGTCAGAGAAAACAAAAATCCAACATATTCCGAAAACTAGTTCTCCCAATATGGATTTCCCACCTGCATTTGTGGTTGGTTTAGGTGGTGAGAAAGTCAGTAAACTAAAGAAGGCTCTGTATGGTTTAAGCAATCTCCTAGAGCTTGGTTTGGGAGATTTACTCAGTCTATGGAGAAATTCGGAAAGAGCAATTCTGATCATACATTGTTCTTAAAGCACAAGGAAGGTAAAGTAATTGCTTTAATAGAAATAGGAAGTTTTTATTAGTAGAATTTTGTGTGTCAACTTTTCAACTTCTATGAGGTTCATTTGTTTCCTAGTTTGTATATCATTGTAGTCCCTTCGATACCTCCTAGATGGAGAAGAACCAACATTCAGAAATTTAACCTAAAATTTAACATTACGCACCTGAAATCCAACTGGTGGGCTGGGGCCTTGACCAACTTTTATATCCTTGTACTGCAAACCGGACTCTGTAGTTACCGTAGGTATCTTCAACAAAGAGACAAATTTAGCATCCATTACCAATACAGTTGATAGTTCACATCAACAAAGAACATTCGTCACTGACATAAAATCAATGAACTTCCAGGGAAAAAAAAAAGATTATGATCATTTAAACCAGAAACAATGCATCCTTATTAACTGACAGCAACAGAGTGAATTGATCATATGAGCTGCTATAAAGTGGAGAAAACGTATCTCAAGTAAAAGACACAAATCATTACGTTTAAATAATGTCTTGGGAGGTTATGCTCAGGTTGCATAATGTAAAGTGAAAGGTAAAATAGTGCTAGCAGAGACGATTTGACCAACTTAACTTGAACTCCGATTCAGTTAATAGATATCTACCTCTGGCACAACATCTTGGAGCTCATGCCACAACAAGAACCATATGAAGGGATTAAATAGATAGGCTCAAATTGGTGTGTATGCAAAGTTTCAGGGGAAAGAGATAAATAGAAATTCAGGATCACAAAAAAGTTTGTAGAATGAACTACTCATCACAACGATTCTGAAATGGGCAACAAACATCCTTGGAAAATAAGGAGGAAAAAAGTAATAGAGTTGAAGACTCATAAATGGAAAAGGAATACATAAATAGAAATAAATTGGTGGAGTGAAATTGGGAGTGTGATGACATATAAGGCTGCACTAAAACTAGATTTTTCACAACGTGCATATCATAGGTGTCCTTTTATTAATGTGAGAAAGCACTAATTACTTGGAAATAATTATTTATGTATATCTTTATATTTTCTTGTCTATTTTGAATAAAAATATTGTTGTCTATTTGTTGCACTAAACAGTATGCAAAGGGTTAAGCATAACTATGAACGAGCCTCACAGTTCAAGGTATTAACCCTTTTTCCTGAAAACCCCAAATAGAACCTTTCATTCAGGCAAGCTACATAAAACTGACTTGAAATCCTGTTAAGCATTACTTCCATGTTTCCAGTTTGAGAAATATTTCAAGTCCCCAGAGTTGAATCACAATATTATTTGTAAACTTCGTATTTTTTAAAGATTTAATGAACAAGCTAGAGATCAGTATTATGCAAGTTATAACTGCTATAAATTCTGCTAGAATTTTGGAGCGAGTAATATTTGAACTCCAAATATGCAGTTAAGGGATCCATGCAATCTCACCATACATTTTCAAGCTCTTTCTCACAAGAACCATCACATAGCCTGGGCTTTTCTTCTGGGGGTAAGCCAGCTCCCTCTGCTTCAAATGAGTCTATCACAAGGCTTGAAACTCCAAGAAGCAACCCAATCATATCTCTTCGTTTCGTTAAACAGAACTGATCCATATATCCTCTTGATCTTGCAGCTTTAACAGTAAGTTCTGAATTTGAACATCGCACAAGCACACCCTGAACTTTTGCGCAGGAAATGCCTTGATAATTTGCAGATATCCTTTTTCCAGAAGAACCTAACGCAAGATGAGCTAATTTAAAGGAAAAACAGCATAACTAAAGCTGTGATATAGCATATAGGTAAAACTTGAAAGCAAAACAGA